CAAAGGCACACAATGACAAAGCACTTTCCTGCCCATTAACAGTGGCTGGAAAATACCAGCCTTTCTTGCCAAAGAGTTTCTGCTGTATTGCTCTTCATTCATTTCCATGATTAAGGTTTCTTTCCTTTAAGAATCCTTCTATTCTCATTTCTTGAAACTGAGTACCTCTTGGGGTCACTGCAGGGCATAATTTCATTTTAATTGCAAGTTCAACATCAATACTCATCTCATATTTCAGCAGCTCTCGGTTTATCCCAGCTTCTTCCAAAGCAAATGATAATACATCACTGTGCAATGAGCTCACATGCAGATGAAATCCAGAGTTGAAGATCTCAACAAGACACTTCCTTTAAAGTTCTCTTATTTTTGCCTCTATAGAGCTTTCTGCCCTCTATTGAATGGCACAAGCGGAAGCCAGCTCAGAGCACAGCCAAGCTTCAAATAGTTCTCTATCATACGTCTCATTACGAGACTAAAAGGTTCCTTTCTCCCTGCTTCCCTCAAGGGAAAGGAAAATAAGTCACTTGTGTGAAAATCCCTACAAGTCTATCGTGGGCAAATACACTCTAAATACTAAGTGGGGTTGCCAGCTTCAGGGTAAAAGGGATAGAAAATTATAGGACAAATGCCAAAAAAGAACTTATGACACCAGGATAAACCAGGTGAATCTCACAGAGACCAGGTGTCTCAGAATTAAAAAAAAGCCAAACAGCCAGCTGCGGGCCAGCTGGAGCCATCTGAACCAGATACCAGTACAGACACCTGCATCAGATAAGCACCCTGATCACAAGCAAGTTCCCAGCTATCTGACTCCCACCTTTGCTGGCCAGCTCAACTAAGGTTGTGGCCAAAGTGGAGCACGGAAAAAAAAAGACAGCCTGTCTCATCTGCTGCTCAGCCCTTGCAGCGCAAAGACATTGCCACTGGAGCAACACCTCCAGGTTACCAGAAGACAAGTGAGAGATTTCAGGTTGGGTGGATAGGATCACAAGTTTTACAAGAAGCTGCCTTGAAACACTGGCTTCAGAAAACCAGCAAGGAACAGAAGACAGGTGTGTTGCAGGCTGGAAGAACGGCTATGTACATCTACATCATCCAACAGCTCATGAGGAGAGAGGATGCATTTGAGTTTCAGCAGAAATGATGAAATGAAATTAAGGGAAAATTTCAAGACAAGCACTGCCAGCTGTTCTTGTCACTCACATGGCCAGGCAACCTTCTAAAAAAGAGATGGCAGAACTTCTGTTCTAGACTGGGAAAAGCAAAAAATAAAAAAAGCACTGAAGAAATTAAAGTCTTCATATGGGACAGCTTTCCCCTGCCCCTCAGATAAGCTTAGTTTGCTTACAGCTACTGGACATACAGCAGGCATTCATTTTATGAAATCAGTCTAGTGATCTATGTTATTCATAAGGCCAGACTAGAGGATTCACAAGATCCTCTCTGGTCTTAAAATATATCCAGCAGAGAACAATCTGCCATTGATTGAATATTTGAAAAGTAATGACCTACTAGGCTCTTCCTCACCCTCCCCGCCCCTTCTGGTTTAGATAGCTCAGTGGACAAAATCCACATTTCGTTTTTTAGTTCAGGAAGTTTCAAACAAATGCCTCTACATTAACATTTCAGAACGTTAACCAAATAGAATAAACACATTCCTCTGCACCAGCAAGCGGGGAAAGAAGAGAGGAGGTCTCTGCTTGCAGCCAGCAAATTCTGCCTTGAGTGGAAAGAATCTGAGCAAGACATTTTCCATAGATCTTCATGGAAAAACATTTCATAGCACTGCCACATTTCAAGCCTATTGTGGCAGGAAACACTGAAGTTTCATGTGCGCAGTCCTCAGCTCATATATAAAAAGCTTACAAGCCTCCTGCCGTTCAGATAGATCACGTTGCACAACGCATACGCACACTAAAAACCCCTCCCTGACATCACTCAACTCAAAGAGATCTGGGAGGGAGTCAAACTGGAAGAAAGGATTTCCAGTCCTAGCAAGATTCCCCACCCCCTATCAAAAAGCAATCAACAAAAACAACCGAGAAAGAAGTTCCTCCTGCGACCAAAAGCTTCATGTAAAACCCTTTAAGGGTTTCCTTCTGCTGAAAACGCTGCTTCTGTATTGATCACCTCCCCACTTCATCCCTCATGGTGCACGCTGAAAAATGCTGTTGAAGTCCAAGCCTTCGAAGCAGGGAGGAGACTGGCACACCTTCTATTTTTCAAAGTTATACTGCCTTATTATATCCCCTCCAAGTCACACCTAAAATGCCTTTCTGTTACACTTTGAGAAGCCCAAAAGTGAGGAAAACTCTTAATAAGTCAGTCACGCTATTAGGGACAAACGCACTCGTAAGCTACTCATCGCCCATTTAACTCAGGATTGAGCAGAGCGGTGCTCCCCAGCTTTTACAGTTGCCTGCAGAGCTGCACGCCTCTGCTTCTTCTGGCCCTTTTCTGTCAGTATTTTCCCTCCAGTTTTGGGGAGCCTCTAATTCTCCCTAGAAACCACTAGCAACCTCAGCAGTTCTGCCTTTCACCACTCCCATCAGGGAAAATCTGGCACCACCTTCTTTTTCTGAAGAACAAGTTTGACAGCTGCCAGTACCACAGGATGCAAGACCAGGGTGTGATATCTGAGCTGTGCTTTTCTTGCTGCTCTGCAGCCTTGCCATTTACCTCTGGCTCCCTGACTCAGTCACAGCTTGCAACAAAGACAGTGCACCTCAGCAAACAAAACCAAAGTAACGCACCCACAAAACATCTTCTGTCTCATACATCTGACTCCAAATAGTAATTCCACGGTTAGTCCATTCTAACCGTGCTCATCACAGGTCCTCATCATGCCCACAGATGAATGTCCAGCAAGGACATCCAAGTAACAACTGAAGGACGCAAAGTTCATCCACCAACTGAAGAAAGGAAGGTATGTCAGGCCAGATTTTGCTACTTGCCAAGATTATTTTGGGAAATAGCTCTCCAGTAAATTGTGCCTGGGATCTCATTGCTCTCTTCATTCTTTTGTAAAGAATGAAAGGCTGACAGGGGCTCAGGACTATCCCCCCCCCGCTCCAGTCCTGCTACTGGAATTCACACATTCTCAGGGCAGTGCTACAGGCTGCCTCCCTTTCTTCACTTCATGCGTTAGAAATCCTATCTGGGTGAAGAGACTGGGAGTAGGGAGTGACAGCAGAAAAGTCAAGACTGCAACTTGCACACTTTCCTCCCTTGCACAGGTCACAGGTTTTCCCCTGAAGCACGGATATTAACAGCACACCGCCAAACTTTTTGGATGGGAGTTCAAAGTGACATAACGCGAGCAATGTTGAGAGAGTCACCAACCACCACTTTTGTGCAGGAAAGCCTCCACGCAAGAGCTTGGAGGGGAGGGGTTTGGGACAGATTTCATTATTGCTGGTTTCTTGCATCACCCCTTTGCAAATGCTGCTCTCCCACTGCGTCTGACCTAAATATCAAGAGTAATAAGGCTAAAACTATAGCCCATTAAACCATCTTGAGAAGACAACAAATCTACAGCAATACTCAGCTGTGACAGAGCAGCTCCAAGAGGCATTTGGAACATAGGCAACTAACAGATTATTCTCAGAACAGTAACTTACCATAAAACTAAACAAAAAGCCAACCAGAAATTACCTAGAACTGAGAGAAGCGTTGAGCTGAGTCAATGTCCTCTCTTTGGCCAGCTTAGGTCAGGCTGCATCTTCATTCGAGTTTGTATCAGGATGCTACATTTCAAAGCTTCTTACAAAGTGATGTCCTCATTGCAAGGCTGTCCCCCTATGCTCAGCCCTTGTCCTTTTCTCAGTGTGTCCAGTATAACGAAGTACTGTTTTTAGAAATCATCTCATAGAAATGATTACCTTAGTCATGGATATAACCAGAATTCAGGCTGCTCTTGCCTAGCCACAGACACATGTTCTAAAAACCCTACAGCCCCACTAGTATAAGCAGAATAACTCACAGGAAGAACAAGGGGTGTGAGGAGAAATCTTCTCCAAAGCTGTGCTTATAAACAGAAATGGGGGAGCACAGAAGTTTTGAGATAAAGCAGCTAACTAGAGAGCTCCAGCATAGGATGCACCTTTGGGCTACACTGAGAGCTCTTCAAAACTGCTCAAGAAGTCACCAGCTTGGTTTATCAAAGCATGAGATGAGCCTCTCACTTATAAGTGTATCACCATCATAAAAACAACTCTGCAGTACTTCCCACCCACACAGCTTGACAGTAAGTCAGTGTTAACATGCATCTCTGATGATCCAAACCAAACCTGTCCCCTCCTCCCTCCCCACAACAATATACCAGGACATGCATGCTTCTGTAGAAAAATCTCAACAGGCAGGCTATGCTACAGCTAAAGATGAGGGCTTCAGCAAGGATGTGAGGAACAGGATGCACTTCTGATACTGAAATTCATCACAATTTGTGGAGGTTTGCAACCCAGCCACAAGGGGTCTTCCAGTGGCAGGATACACTTGCTGAGACGGCTGAAATGTTACCATTACCTTGACCTGACCATTTTCTGCAATTACATTAACAGGAAGGTGTGCTCAGGCAATTTAATGCTATGCTAATCAAGTCTGTTTTGGAACAGAAATCTAGTTCATATTAATGTTCTTTCAGAGCAGCCACTACCTAACAGCAATCTAGTGATAAAGCTGGCAAATGTGGCAGCAGTTATTCCATACTGAGAACCAGCTCTGAGCTCACAGGACCATAAAAACTGCATTAGAAAAGAAAAACCCAGGGGTTATGATTATAGCCAATTCGTTAAACATCCTCCTGTAAACAATCAATAGCACAAAGGATAAAAGTACCACCAAAAGAGACAAACAAAGCTCTCAGCCATCATACCATTTGAAGACCCCTTGCATGTTCCAAAGAGTAGGTGTTTCCCAGAGATGGTGAAACCACTGGGAAAGTGTCAAAGAACTCTCTCCCTTTCTGGCTTAGACACGCAGCTGCCAGATTCTGTACCAACCTGATGTCTGGAAGTCTATCTGGATGGGGTTGGATAAGCCATTCACTGCTTCACGCCACATGCCACCACCACCTGGAGACCAGGCAGTCACCACACAGCGATACAGCCCAGCATCAGAAATCTGAGTCTGATACATCCTGTAGCGGAACTCATTCTCCTGGACCTTCTCTAGAACCACACCGTCCACACGAGTCTGGTCTGTCCAGTCTTCCAGTCGCACTACTGAATCCTGGTTCAAGGAGATGATGCGAGTTGTTCCATTGGGATTCGACCGATCCGTTAGTGGCTTCTCAGCTGTAATGAGGACAGAATAGCGTGGCGTCTTGATGTTTTTTGAAGACACTTTGCATGTCATCTCAAAGGTGTGGCCTGCTACAAAGAATGGCTTCAATTTCACTGCCTCCACTGTCAGCATGTAATCTGAAGAAGGAAGGAAATAAGCAGCAAGAGAGCGGTTAATAAACAGGTGCAGATATTTCCACAGCACCTTTCAATCTAGATGATTACAAATAAGCAAAGTACTTGTTTCAGAGAGACAACTCCCAGCACATTTATCTAAACCCATCTGGACATCCCAGAATGCTACTCAACAGCACACACACACCCCAATACACAACAGTTTGGGTCAAGATGCAAGGATTCAAACAAATACCAAATATTGAACAGATAATGCAATACACAGGTTGTAGCATGACAAGACCTCCAGGACTTTTTATATTCAGAAGCAAAGTTCTTAGTTAGACAAGACTCAGAGTCCCAGTTTAATGCTGGATCTGGAAAAGCACCCTCAGTGACAGGATGCAAGGACACTACCGAAGTACTCACAACTAGAGACAAAAGCTGCCACTAAATGAATCAGAAGCACTTAGTGTAGCTTCTTTTATTTCCCTTGAAAATCCACCAGCAATCCAGACACATTCAGCTGATCTCCCAAGATCAGCTGAAATGGCATGACAAAAAAGTTTGTGATAACACCAGAAGTCTCCACCCCCAGCACCCCTCCTCACAACCCTCTGTGTTGAAAGAGTTTGGTATACCTGTGCCTCCATGTGTGTTCTTTTCCCTTGCTCCTCAGGCGTTCACCTGAGTACAAGCCTACCAGAAGCCTTGATGTTTCCCAGCAGCCCATTTGGCATCAAGAACGCCAGCAACACTTACTGCTCAGTTTCCTTTCCTTTCTTCAGCATTCTCCAAGTCTGCCAGCTCCTCAATCCCAAGAATCCCTTAATTACAGTGTTACAGAGCACAGCCCCGAGACACAAAAAAACAGAAGCTCACAATAAGAAACTGAGAAAACAAGGAGTGACTGAAATCAGTACCAGATAAAAGGAAAGGGAGTTGCTAGGTTCCTGGCACTGTGATGAAGAGACATCCCACAGACTCAGGTTCTTCCCAAGAAAAGGGTGCTGGGACAGAATACACAGCTTACTGCTACTTCCCAAAGTAGCAGTATTGGAAGAATTCAGTCATTCTGACTTTCTGGACTTACTTTGCTGCAGCACATTCTCCCTTCCCACCCTTATAAAAAACAGGTGTGGACATGCTAAAAAAAAAAACCCCACCCTACACAGATCACCTTTATGCAAGGTGAAACTTCTCAAGAAAAGGGAAATAAGCAATGGTGAGATTGTTACACATTCCCCAAACTGAACTAAATGCAGTAATATTTATGCCCTCCCCACAAGAGCAACAAGATACTTGTCAAGATTACATTTTGCAGTATTTTGCCTTCAAGCAGCAGTTTTCACAATGAGTAAACACAGCCCATAAGATGAGAAACCCGGTATGACAACTTTAAATCAGCACTGTATAAAGCAGATCACAGTACAAAGCTATATAAAGAAACAGCAGGAGGGGGGAAGGCTAGGCTGCTTCTAGTGGTCTAGCTGAGCACAGAATTACTTGATACTCCACACCAAACTTCCTCCCACGCTTCCACCCGCTAAGCAAGTAGAAATACAAGAGTTGTACATTTAGGCACTCAAATGACAACTGAAGTTGCACACAGAGAGTCATTCTCTGCTCCCTTGTGTGAAAACTCATCATACATCTGATTCTAGACTTCAAATCCATTTTTTCCCTCATTCTGTGTACATGAGATTCTGGTATCACACTCTTCAAAAGGCTGCAGTATTTAGGAGCCCAGCACAGATCAGCTTGACACATTATTTTAGGAATCTGGTAGACAATTCTACTTTTGCCCCGAAAGTGGAAGCACAAACAGATAGCCATACTTCTCGCCACATTTTGCTGCTTTCCAGGCCTTGTGAGCAGGGTCTGGGCAAAACACCCTCCTGGTGCAAATGTTCTTTGTGCTGTTGATCTTCACATCAGAGCACTGGATCACAGACACCGAAAAAGAAATCTTGCATTTGATGTCTCATGCATGTGCCTAAGACAAATACCTTCACATGATCAGAGCAGTACAGATGTAGCTGAGAAGAGACAACTCTTCCTACTATCTGGGCTCCAAATGCCTTACTTCAACTGTTCCCTGAGCCACAGGTCAGGCAGCAGTACAGGGGAGTGTCTTGTCCCCAGTAAAGACAGAGCAAACTTTGTTCCTGAACATCCTTTCTCAACTTTCCATTTGAAGGCAACAGAAAATGCTGCTTTTACCAATTATTTTTCTAAAGAAAAGCAGAAAGGAGCGGTGGTAGCATGAGACAGCAGCAGAAACGCCATCTCTAGAGTCTGTGGAAGAGAACATCTGAAGACCAGGAACGCAGCTGGAGAACACTGGTAGAATTCCGAAGCGTTAGCATTTAGGATGCTGAACAGAGAACAGGGCGGTATATTGTATCAAAGTCCTTTCAAATTATTTTTCTACCTTTTAAAAACCCAAAATTCCTTAGCTTGGACAAATACAGAAGGCAGAGGCACCTCCTCTTATGTGAGTCCACAAGAAATACAGATCAGAATAGAGAAGGGGACACAAAACCCAGCATATATCAGTGCTGAATGTTTCTTGTTGCAAGAAAGTAAAAAAAAAAACCAAAGGAATATTTCTGAATCTGCAATAAGAGACCTGCGTACATAGTAAAGTAGGGAAAAAAAACCCATATCCTATCAACTAGAAAAGCCTGGATAGCCATTCTTAACAGTTTAGTTCTGTGCCAAAATTGTTCTCCTTCAGTAGCAGCAGATGAAATGTAATTAGCACTCCACCACTCACACCTAGAAAAGCATGTAGTTGTCTCTGCGTGTGACGCTGCACATCATGGGAAAGAGGAGAAACCAAAGATTTTGCACTTAGGTTAGAAATAACAGTAATCTGCAAGAAAAGTTAAGTGGGAAAGGAAAGTTCCTTCATGTTTCCTATGTTAACAGAAACTACTTATCGGATCTTATAGCAGAAGATGGGCCAATGAGGTCAAAGAACATTTTCTTCCATGAACTGCATCCTAAGATCTCATTTCTAATCTTCCAAAAATTGCCAAGGAGGCAATGTCTCTGTCTTGACCACTACCCTGCACTCTTGCCCCTCCACACACACACACCTGCAACCCCACGCAGAGTCTCACCTCCATCTCGCAAAGCTCCCTGTATGAAAAGCGTAATAAAACACAGCCTGGCTGGTCACATACAGGAGGCTGCAATCGGCAGAGTTTATGTTGGAAAGCAGTAGGGAAGAGATCCTAAGTAAAACATACTCAAAGCTTATAACCAGTTCAGGCACTACTCCAAGACAGAGGGCTAGCAGCAGAAGAAAGCCTAACCAAATGATTCGGATAAAATTTTGGTAATAAACTGTACTCTGGAGCCTGGCAGTCCGTGCCTCTGCCTTCCGTCACTGGCCACTCCAAGTGGTTAAACCACACTATAATTCTCTTGCTCTCTACCACAAAGTGTGTGCTCAGATACATGAGTACTTCCTGGGTAGTGACCAAAAAGTCTTCTCACCCAATCGAAGCCAGTCATACTGCTAGAGAAGCTTAACAGCTACACGGGGGAGGAGGCTTTAGGAAACAGCAAATACCTTCCCTGCACTCCACCAGCTCTGGTCAGAAATGCAGCACAATGGCCATGGCTAACAGTAACCTTAGAGCCTAACATCTTGTCAGCAGCCTCAAGTAACGCCATCTCAGTATTCATAAAGGCTTTTTCACCCCCCAGTGTACTAGCTGGATTGCAAGGAAAGGGATGCAACAGCCATTAAGGTAATGACAGCTCTGCCTTCATAGGAGAAAGAGGCTGTACAACACCCTGAGGTACAGCTCTAGCCCCAGCAGCTCTGATACCAACAGCTCTGAAAATACAGCAGGCACGCTAATAAGGCCTGCACCACAGCCTGACAACTGTATATATAGCACAACTGCTCTCCCCACTGCTGCACGCGCACAGCCAGACCACCCTCACTGGCCTGCTCCCCTGACAAGCGAAGAGCACGAACACTTCATCCTCACGCAGCCATGGCACGAGGAGCCCAGCCACCCCTGACTTGTAACTCAACGCACTTTCTTGTTCCTACACCCAAACCGGCACGTACACCTGGCAGCCCGGTGCCATGGGTATGGGAACTGGCTTGCTCAGGAGGAACTGCATGTCTATTACACACCAGCAACAGCAAAGAGAAGTGGGTGGCAGAAATATCACCTGTTCTCTATTTGCAGGACTTTCTGAAAGGTTAAGATGCCCTTTCTCCCAATTAAATGTAATGGGAGGGCGTGGGCAAGCATTTAGGTAGCATTTAACATAACAAGTAACATTATGTTAAATACAATTACTTTGTAAATTAAAGATCGAAGTATTAACAAACCCACAAATAATAGTACCTTTGGGATTTGGAATTTCAATTAAAAGATAATGTTCTCTTTTGCAAAGAATTCCATGCAGCTCCTAAGCTGACAATACTGGTTTAGGAAATAAGTACCAATTCTGCATTCCACTCCAAACAGCAACTGTGTTTTAAATATAAACAGTACTCACCGAAATTAATAAATAAAATTATCTTTTACACTACCAAACTTTTTTCTTGGTTGAAAATCATCTACACAGCCAGTCAAAAAAGGATGCCTCCTTTACCCCTTTTTACTGATTGGAATTTGTACACCAAATAAGCAAAAAATAATAATATAATTACTGCTTTTCATTTTTTAGGTGAGATAAAGAGGTTTTCTTTGTCACCTTGGAAGGGGAGAGGGTAGAAGAAAGAGAGGAAGAAACAAATCATGCAGACTGTGTCAAAAACTACAGTGATCTATGATAGCTATTGGCTGCGTTTGCAAAGTTGAGTAGAAAGACATGTCAACAGTACTGGTCCTCACAGAACAAAATAGAAAAAAGATAAAAAACCTCAAGTTAGAATGGGCAAACATACAACTTATTATACAACACAGACAAAAAGGACTTTGACATCTTCACATGATGTTTACATTTCAAGCAAAGGCTTCCTTATCCTAAACATCCCTCTGTGCTGACTGACCCACAGACACAACACAAAACCATTTCCCCTTTTTTCAAAAACTCAGAACAACCTTTTCCAAAGTGGGATTTCTTCGAAGTCCCACTCCCTGAGCACTGCTCTAAAGTTAACACAGACAATGCAAGTAATGAAATAGTTGGAAGAAAAGCCTCTGTGTAGTCACAAGCTATCCAAGAGGCAAATTTCTGTTCTCTCCTTAGGCAAGCACGTGGGAGCCTGGCTGCTTTTATAAGCACTAGGAGCAGTTAGGGACTCAAATCACCAGAGATACTTGTCAAAACAACAGTCAGAGAGCAGAGCAGCAGCAGATTAACTCCTTCGTAGTTGCTGGCTACAGCACTGGACTCACAGCTGAGCGTGC